ACATTTAAAGTGCTAAAAGAAAAAAAATCATGGTCAATCAACACTCCTATCTCTGGCAAAACTATCTTTCCAAAAAATGAAGACAAAAGACTCTGCAGGTAAATTTAAACACAGAACTTGCTGCTACAGAAACAACTTACAAAAAATACCAAATGAAGTTCTTCCAACTGAATGCAAGTGACCCCAGATAGTAATTAGAATCCACACACATAAAAATGAAGTACTAGCAAAGGTAATTCTGTAATTATAAAAGATGGTATAAATACATATATCCTCTCCTGCCTTCTCAGATAAGCCAGTGCAGTGTCTGTCAGCAGTGTCTCCTCAGAGGGGCCGTTGGGGGTCATTGATAGAAATTCCTTCACCTGGGAACCCACAGAAAGACTGCTCAGGGCTAGAGGAAGTGCTGGAGATGTTCGCCAAATTAGTGCATAACAATATGGTCCTTGATTTCTTTAATAGAGGGGATGACTGTTATGATATATTTACATCATCCTATATAATAAAAGCTTAATATGCTAAGTGTCCGGTGGTCCGGTCAGCCATTCAAAGCGTAATATGCTAATGGTATGCTAAGGCCGCCCAACTGCTTACTATGACATGCACTGACCACCAGGCGGCAGACATGCACTGACCACCAGGGGGCAGACGCTCTGACCAGTAGCTTAGCTTACTGCTGGGTTTCGGTTGATTGGGACTGAGCAAGATGGGCCAGACACACCCTGCAGCCCTCCCACAGTACCTCCTCAGCTGGCCAATCTCCTGCATCCCTCCCTGGCCCTGATTGTGCACCAGTGGGGTCTCTTGGCTGGCCTGTGCCCTCTCATAATCTGGAACTCCTTGGGGACGTTGGAGAGCCAGTTTCAGTGCAACAGTAGAATGACCAATCACTATGACATGCACTGACAACTAGGGGGCAGACACTCAATGCAGGAGCTGCCCCCTGGGTCAGTGTGCTCCCATAGCGGGAGCACTGTTCAGCCAGAAGCTGGGCTCACGGCTGATGAGTGCAGTGGCAGTAGTGGGAGCCTCTCCTGCCTCTGCAGCAATGCTAAGAATGTCCAACTGACTGCTTTAGCCCACTCCCCACTAAGCTATTAGTTGGACATCCCCTGAGGACTCCTGGACTGTGAGAGGGTGCAGGCTGGGCTGAGGGACCACCCCCCCCCATCAGTGCATGAATTTCATGCATTGGGCCTCTAGTTTGTCAATAGCAGTGCAAAAGGGGTAAGCAGGAACAAAGCTGTTTTGGAGTAAGAAAATAACATCAAACAGCAACTTGAATCTGAGAAATAAATGAAAAGAATCAGAAAGGGCAAATGAGTTTCATATAACAAGTGATATATCCTTTATATAGTGTACTAATTATAACAATGTATTATTGTATTTGTAGCTATATAAATATAATATGTATAATAATAGCAGAAAAGTGAGGAGGACTCAAAGCTATATAGGAACAATGTTCTGCATCTAACTGTCATCATTAGTATATATTTGAAGTTGATTCTAAATGAAAATGTATATGATAAGCCCTAGAGCATCCACTAAAAATAGTAACATAAAAAAGTGAAAAAAATCAATGAAGAATTTAAAATGTTATACAAGAAAATATTCCCATAATGCAAAGTTAATATAACTATAATTAATATGATAAATGATGTAGTAGACAACATGCAGAAATAAGAGAGGAATTTCAGCAAAGAAATAAAAACTATAATAAAGAATAAAATAAAATAAAAATATTATAAATAGAAAAATATTGTATAATAGATGAAGAATTTCTTTCATGAGTTTATCATTAGATCCAACACAGCTAAAGAAAGAATAAACAAACTTGAAAATTAGCCAGAGTATTGCACATTTCATGTTTACTAATTTTGCTACCATCTACTTATTTGGGCCATAATATTTTATATTCCCTTCAGAAATGAATAAAAGCTCCTGTCCTCCTGTATTCATGTCAACACTTTGTGTTCCCAGAGTTGTACCTTTCACCAATCTGATGAATGTTATATGGTTGATGGCTGAGTAACCTTTGGCAATTATTTAACTTCTTTGAACCTCTATTTTATTTTCTTCTAAACGAACATAATACTACTTATCTCACAGGTTGTTGCCAGGATGGAATAAAAACATAGAGAAATCCTAAGAAACTTAGTATATAGTTAATAATTTTTTCCTTCTATCTATATGCTCCCAAAGCATTGAGCAAAGTTTCTTACATGCAGTAGATAGCTATTAAATACATAAAAAATCAATCAAATAATATAAAAGCTAATTTCAGTGTCTACTGAAAGAAATGCTGATGTTCATGGAACAAAATAACAGAGAAGTTGAGATCGAACTTTGGAGTCAAAGGATCCTGAGTCAAATAGTATTTCTGTTAAGTTTTGAGAATTATTACCAATTGGTATATTTTAATTAGGCACAAACAATAAATATATGTGGTGGTTTACAGAAGGCATAGGAGTTTTAAGTACATACTACTCCCTTCTTATTCCTTATCCTCTAATTACAAACATTAGTATAAATCAGAAAATTTAACATTTTAATCATTATGATATCTATTCATACTTATGCCTCATTAAGTATGAATATAGAGAAATACATGTGGAAATAAAACAGAAAAAGTAAATGTCTTTTCAGAGATATGTATCAGATACTATCTGGGTAAGCATTTTACTTTTATCAAGTAATTTTTACAGAGAGAAACTATACAAATTTTCCTGGTTAGAAGCAGTATTGTTTCTACTTTTGTTTTTGTTATTATTATGACCATATAACAAAGTGAATGTTAACAGAGGCCAATGTTTAAATTAAGTGAAAATTGCAACACATTCAATCGGACATACCTCAATTATACATAAGACTCATTTTTGTGGTATGCTAACTGCATGTAAATAAGGAGTTCAAATAAAAGCCTACAATTAGTATTTGCTTTTTAATATCTGACTGTGTCTGTGTTCAGTTGTGAGGAGCAGAGAGAAAAATAAATAAATAGGATAAGAAGCTATTGAGGCTTCAAGGTTTGTATATAGTAGAGGGGGTCTGAGTGAGGTTTTTTTTTCCCATTTTTGTATAGGGGACACCTGCAGCTGGGGAAATGTGAGCCACCAGGGGAAGGAGCTATCTGTCTCCCAGCACCCAGTGTGAAGATGAAGTGGGCATTCTGGTTGAGTATAAGCTTGGATTGCAGGGCAAGGGCAGAATGATAGCATTATTAACTAAATGTCTGTGTCCCTTCAAAACTCATATGTTGAACCTGTGAACCCCAGTGCAGAGGTATTTATAGATGGAAACTCTAAGAAAGTAATTAAAGTTAAATCAGGTCATAAGGGTGGGGCCCTGATTGGATACGATTAGTGTCCCTAGAGAAGAAATACCAGAAATGGCTCTTGCTCTCCCAATATCCATACACCAAGAAATGCCACATGAGAACATAGAGAGAAGATGGGCACCTACATGCCACAAAGAGCCTGCAAGAGAAACTGAATTCACCAGAACCTTGATCTTGAACTTCCCAGACTTCAGATCTGGGATCAATAAATTTCTGTTGTTTAATCCATCCAGTCTAGGGGGTTTTGTTATGGCAGGCTAATCAAGATGGTAACCTTCCTTCATTGAGAATCAAAGACCAAGATCAACCAGACTTATATGCATGCATATAAGCCTAACCAATGGACAGAGGCACCAAGGGGGTGAGGGCATGAGTGAGGGGAAGGGAGGATAATGGGGGGATGAGAACACATATGTAATACCTTAATCAATAAAGAAAAAAAGGGGGGAAAAAGACCAAATTAAAAAAAAACACCTGGTCTTTGACACAAGAGATGTCTGAGGTCCCATTAGTAGTCCCCTGGCTCAAAATCTCCTTCTCCTCTCATATTCTAAGCTCAGCTAGAGATATTTCCTACCCTCTTTAGGTTCATCTGAGAAAATATGAGCAGGGCATTCAGAGAGGCAATTTCAAACATTGCATCACTGGAGTTACAGGAGAGCAATGGAAACATTGATGAAGGAGGAGAGGAGGAATCAGAATGTATTATCAGTAGGTGGTCAGAGCATTGGGTCATAGTTAAATGTGGGGAAGGGGAAGAAAAAAAGAAACCTGAAGACTGGAAGAAAAAGGGAGAGAAAGAAGAAATAGATGTTCGTGGATAAACACAGGCAAGAAAGGCAGGAAGAAGAGGCATGGCTGACGACATGTTGAAAAACCAAAGAAACTATATATGAGTGCAGTGAGCCTCTTTCCTTTTGGGTCTATTTGAATACATGTCACAAAGAGGAAAGGTTTGAGCAATACCCTGAAGTTTAGCAAAAGGAACTTCCCATATTCTTATTGCCAAATATTTCCATCTTTTTGTAGCACAAAGATTTTGAGAAGCATACTAATTTCTATGTCACTACACTTGACCAGTTCTGTGGCAAAGTGTAAGTAACACTATACGTACTTTGCAGTAGCAGTGGAGCCAGGATAATAAAATACACAGCCAGAAAAAGAAAGAACCATGGGATGTGCAAAATGCATATGGCCATCTCCTAAAGAAATTGTATAAAAATATAGGACAACTCTTAACAACATTTGATGAAGAAGCAAAGTGAGCATTTCTTCCTTTGTATTATGATATGTCATCTCTCACTTCATCTCCCTCCTCACTTCCTACCTCACCTCAGTAATTCATTTTCAGAAACAAATTATAAGCAAATTAATTGGGCTAATAGAACTCTAGACAAAAGTACTCATTTGCTTTCTTCAGTTTCTCCCACACCACAAGGAGTTCATCAGTAGAAATAAAGAGTATCTGAAGCTATGAGATTCTAGTGGGCAGAGCGTGGGTTTCATTGTTGCCTGCCTTATCTGCTTCCATGGTATGACCAAAAGTGGCACACACTGTTTGATTTTTGTAACGATGGTAAACTGTGATAGAGTAGATAGGGTTACCTAAGTTATTAAATGACCCCAGTAGGGATCATGCCCCCACCTAGAATTGAGAGAAGAGTTAATCTTTGAAAAGTTGATAGCAGTGTTTCACACTATCTCTAAGGGCCTCTTTGACTTTGTCATTCCGGAGAGTGAAGATGAAAGGGTTCAGGAAAGGAGTTACCACAGAAATCAGCAGGGAAACTATCTTATTGTACTGGGCTGCCTGCCTTTGATTGGGTTTCACATAGAGGAACAGGCAGCTGCCATAACCAATCACAACAAAGGTGAAGTGGAAGGTCAGCTGAAACGTGGCATAAACTGGCCAGATTTCAGAAAGGAACCCAAACACCCATGACACAATTACCACCCAGATGCAGGTGTGACTGTTCATAATGATGTTGTACCTCAAAGGGTTACAGACAGCCACATAACGGTCCACAGCCATCACTCCCAGTAATGCAAACTCTGTGGTCCCCACAGCAAGGTACAGGAAGAGCTGTGCAACACATCCAGCCAGAGATATTGTCTGCATCCCGGGGAGCAGAAACCCCCGAAGCATGACAGGGATGATAATGGATGTGGTCAGGATCTCCAAGGCAGAGAGGTGACCAAGGAAGAAATACATGGGGGACTGTAGACGTTTATCAACACAAACAATCACAATGATGACCGTGTTTCCCATTAATGTCACTGAGTAGAAGAGGAAGAAGGTAGCAAAGAGGATATGGTGTAGTTCCTCAGAGCCAGGGAAGCCAAGGAGACAAAATTCAGTGGCACTTGTGTGATTGCTCATCATTTAGTCCTTGTTCTTGCTCCTTGTGAAACTCAGATATCAAAAGACAGGTGGCACTGCTCCACATGGTCCTGTTCTCAAGAGAGTAGGAAGACAGATTAGGATGAGAAACTATTTCGACAAATGATCACATGAGTTGCCTCTACTACTATGCTCTGAACAAAGACAGACCTAAATATTGCCTCTTCAATGCTCACTGTCAGGAATGGGTGAAGGCAGCTTCTTCTGTATTGGTGAGAAGAAAATCTTTCTTGTCTTTTTTCCCCACTGGAAGTGTCTTCTCCAGGGAATATAGGCTATAATATTTTAAACTGCTTATTTTAGAAACTGGATTAATCAGCCCCTGGGATTGTCCGATTTCCTCTTAGGTGAACTGTATCAGATAATATGATGGAATTCCAAATGAAGTGTAAGGTAGGAAACATTGAACCCCAGCCTTCATCTACAGTGGTACTACACAGACTCACCTTCATAACTTATTAAATATATATATACTGATACACACACAGTATTCTTGAGCCAAATCAGTAATACTAAAATTTTTTTGTAGGTGATGAGTATATGGACACATAATATATGACTACATAGGTCCTGATCCTGGTCAGGACTAACTAGGCCATATCCCCTCAATGCCTCTCTTCCTGGTCTCCCTTCCTGCCTCACATTACCATTTTCCCTTCCTTCCTTCCCTTCCTTCCTCTGATATTATGGCATATATTGGGAATGCAACCTTCCCAATATCACTGTGGCTCTTCTACTAATGGGCAAACATGCCTCAAAGACAGAACTGTTGGAAGAGCTCAGTGACCTGTTTCTCTACAATCTCTGCATAACTAACAGGAAATAAAGAAAGATGAGAAAGAAGGATCCTGAGAGACGTCAGGGAACTGCATATATCCCTTGCATCAGCTCAGAAAACAACTGAATCTGTCTTTGTTGTGCACAGAGGACTTGGAAATGAACTTGTCTGTCCTGCTGCTCTCCTAGCCCACTCCTCACCCTCTAGGTGTCCCTGTGTTAGACAGCAACCAGACCCAGAACATCCCATCTTACACTTTCTTCCATAGAGGAGAAACCTGAAGACACTCACCTCTATGGAAGGGCTTCACCACCACTGCTAATGTTCTCCAGAGCTCTGCCAAGGCTAACTCCTGTGTGGCTACTGCTGAGCCATGCACAGGGGTTAGAGCAACCTACTGCTGTCTTCACTCATGATGAAAAAGGAAACTGTCTCAGATAGGAGCTTAGGAAAAAGCCCCAAAATAACAGTTCTGTGGGAAGCTGAGGGTCTCTCTTTCTCTGCCTTTTCCTCCTACTTCCCTCCTTCCCAAGGGGACTAGTCACTGAGATACCTGTTCTTAATAAGCCCAGGTTCATGGTGTCCCTAAGCAATCAGTCCAGGGGGAGAAGCACAAACTTTTAGTTATGCCCATTTTGACCAATTAAGTTTCAGAACTTTTTAAACTTTTTGTTTCATGAGAAAACATAAAATCTCACCAACCAGAGGCTTCTCAATACCAAGGCTGCCTTCTCCAAGGCCCCAAAGTCTAAGTTTCCAAATGTCTCAACAAACTCTAAGCAGATCCCCCTTCTGCCCTTCATCCAGTTCTCTCCTGGGATATTCTTAGCTGTTCAGAACCAAAATAAGCCCCCACTTTCCAATAGGAAACACCACAACTGACCTCTAAAATGCACACCGATATCCACAAAATCCCGCATACTGGTCTCAGACAAAGTTTCGACTTCATAAAATATCCCCTGCAAAGCTTGATTTCTCCTCCACTCATTTTACAGAGGCTCCTGTTCCTAACCCTGTGTGCGCTCCAGAACACTGGAGGGTGCTACCTCTAAATTCAACTCCCCTCTCTGATATTGTCTCAGGTTTCCACATGTGGGCATCTCTATGTACTCCAGCAAGATTCATCCAGCCATTGATTTGTATAGCCTGTCCCTGATTATCACCAGCTGGGCACTTCAAAGTGGGGGACACATAAGGACAGCCCAATGTAGGCAGCTATATTTACAACCTGGAACAACTGAAAAAAAATGCAAATTGGAAATCTGCTTGGTTCTGGAGGGAGACAGAAAAAGCGAGAGTCACAAAACATGTATCTGGATTTTGGATTTAATTTCAAGTATACCTCTTAAATATGTTCATTTTAATTGGTGCAGAAGGGCATAAATTATGAATAATTTTCTCTACAATTTCTTAAATTATCCAAGTCCAACCACCCAATCTTAGAGGAATTTATCTAAGATTGTATATTGTTTTCAAGGAAATGCTGTGAAAATCAGTTTTACGCACTTTTCTCTCTCACTTAATAATGCATATTACCCCACTTATTTTTTTGTGTAATATTCCATGATATGGATGTCCTATTCTTTATTAGTTAGACCTCTGTTGCTAATTTTTTATTGTTTCCATTTTGATTATGAAAAATGATGCTATATATATATGCACAGATATTTTTAAGTCCATACACATTTATATTGCTCGAATAAATCCCTACAGTTAGAATTTCTTGATCAAAAGGTAGATATATTGTAATCATTGCTTTTGATTGGCACCACTTTAAACTTCAAAGATTTTGGACCAATTTAGTCAACACTAAGACTGTATGACAGGAGCACTCTTAATTTCCTCATCTACAACCAAAGATATGATCAAATTTTTGTTTTTCTTTGAAATGTAAAAGAGTAATCAATTGAAAACCTGATGAAATGGGAAATCTTTTGAAAGATTAAAATTACCAAAAGTGTCTGGAAAAAAAAGAACTGAAATCCTATATATGTTAAATAAATTGATTCATAATTAATAAGCTTGTCACAGAAAACTACTAGTTAAGATAGTTTTACTGGTGTACTCTATCAAATATTTAAGGAAGAACTAATACCAATCCTATATAAAATCTTCTAGAAAATTCAGGAGAAGGGAACACTGCCCAATTCTCCTCATAAGGCCAGAATTATCTTGATATGAAAGGCATCATAAGAAAATAAACACAGAAACCTAGATTCATCATGAACATAGACACAAAATCTTAAGTAACACATTTATCTACACTAATAATCTACACTACTAAAAGGGTAATATGCTAATTAGACTGGACGTTCTTCCTGATGAAGCTGGGGGTCGGGCAAAGCCGCTCGCGGTCCCAGGTGCCTGCAGCTGTGGCCAACCTGAGCGAAGCTGCTCCTGATCCTGGGTGCCTGTGGGTGGCCACGGGCGAAGACAGCCAGTGTCCCAGGTGCCTATGGCCAGCCAGAGGGAGGGAACCTCAGGTCCCAAGTGCAGGGGCTGAGGCAGAGGCAGTTAGGGGCAATCAGGCCAGTAGGAGAGCAGTTAGGGGCAATCAGGCAGGCAGAGGGGTTAGGGGTGATCAGGCAGGCAGGCAAGCGGTTAGGAGCCTGCAATCCCAGATTGTGAGAGCAATGTCCAACTGCCGGTTTAGTCAGACATCCCCCAAGGGGTTCCAGATTGGAGAGGGTGCAGACCAGGCTGAGGGACACTCTGCCCCATGCACGAATTTTGTGCACTGGGCCTCTAGTCTACACTAATAAAAGACAAACATGCAAATTGATCATACCTTCACTATGCCTTAAGCCACACCCCCAGCCAATCAGAGCAACTATATGCAAATTAACCCAACCAAGATGGTGGCCAGCAGCCACAGAGCTGGAGCAAGCAGGAGTCTTGGTTTCCCCAATGATGGAGGAAGCCAACTTCCTGCCTGTTGCAGCCAGCTCTGAGCTCCACTCCAAGCAACAAAGTTTTAATTATAGAAGATAAATAACCTCCAGATACCTGCTTTCAGCCGGCCGTGGCCATGGAGCTGAAGCAAGCGAGAGGCTGGGAGCTTCCGTTGCTGGGGGGCTTGGCCAACCTGAAAACGGCCCTCAGCCCCTCATCCAGACTGGCTAGGCCCCCCAGTGGGGACCCCCCACCCTAAAGGGGGGTTGGCCAGCCTGAAAACAGCCATCAGCCCCTTACCCAGGTTGGCCAAACCTCCATGTGGTGAAGGTCCCCACTGGGGGGTGGGGGGGCTTGAGCAGCCTACAAACAGCCATCAGCCCCTCACCCAGGCTG